GTCGTTCGTGCATGCCGTCTGGACTGTGTTTACGGGCGCGCTGCGAGAGGTCGTCGATCCGGATCCGTTCTTTGAGGGAGCTGTGCTTCTCGCAGTGACGAAGGCATGCGCAGGCAAGAGCGCCCACGCAGCGACGGGAATAAGAAAAGGGGGACCCGACTTCAGCTGCCTCCCCCCCCCCCGCTTGCGGGGGTGGGGCTGCAGCTCATACATATATATATATATATATAGATATATACATACACACACATATAGATGTATAAAGATTACTGGGAGCCCCTTCGTTAAGGCACATTCCGCCAGGGGTTCCCATTCAATTGAATAGTCGAAAGGTGTATTGTCCATCAGATCATGGTCGCGTGGAGGATGGATGCGTGCCCGCGCTTCATCCTCCAGCGCGCGGGCGAACGCCTCTCTCGACGCGCTGTTGTCCGTGATGGCCGCGTCCCGGTGGTCCACCACCTGCTCTAGGGACCGCGCTGTCATTTGCACCTCCGGGGCCATGGCCCGCATCCGAGCCGGCGTGCCGGTCAACCCGATGACTCGGTCGTTGTTTGCCCGCTTTCGTGTCCAGGAGTTCGCCCACAACGCACAAGGACTGCCGCGGCCATGGGAGGCCTTCCTCGGCCATACTGAACATATTGCACAGCTCTGGGAGGTCCTCGTCGGGCAAGCGTTGGAAACGTGTTGGTGCAAGTTTGCACATGCCAAAGCCAGCCCGAGCTTTCATACGAGGCAGGGCCCTGCGAACATCACTGATGGATAATGGCTCCAGCTGCTCAACATCGGCTCGAGTCCGAATGAGTGCACAAGTTGCCAGAACCGAATCCTATGATGCAACACTCGACCTCCACAATGAATGGTGTATCGCTCCAAGCTGCGGGCCACAATGTCTCTTGAGTGCATCAAAACCGATTGTCCTGAAGGGTGGTCGCGCAGTTCTTGGCATTCATGATACGTGTTTTCGTTTATGTTTTTGTGAGCTGTCCCACGGCCATTGGGCCTCTATAGAGTTGAACCACTGTTGAAACTCTCTGAAGGGTATTGCAGCAGCATTGTTGTGAGCACGCCTAGGGACCCTGAAAGTTTGCTCACACAGAACTACCAGCTGCTCAACATCCAGATCTTACATGCGCCGACGTCTGTTGAGAAGCCCATCCCACGCATCGACGCTCACTGGAGAAGCTGAGCCTCCTCCGTCGGCTGCTGCTGACAGGTGCGCTAACTGAACTACAGTCGGGTCGCTGAAGAAGGAACTCTTTTCGTTGGGTAGGGGCTCCGTGTTCCTTAATTGTTTCTTAGTTTGCCTCACGTTTTCCTCAGGTTTTCGAAGGGAAATCGAAGTTCAACTTCTGGAGAAAAGGGGCCTCGTTCCTTATTTAGGGTTCCTTAGGTCAGCGCCCCGACTGTACTCCATTATGCCTCCTCCGATGTCGCAGCACCCGCTGCACCACAGTGCGAACTCGAGACCGCCACGTAGAACTGCAGTTTCGCGGCGACTCCTGGCGCACGTGCTCGGCTCGCTTGTTCGCTGCAGCACTGGTGGCGCACCCGGCACTCCGGAACTCGGTGCATGCTGCCAGTTCGTGATGATTCAACACGGTGGTCTCAGCAGCGCCCACAGACCTGGCGCACGCGTCGTTGATGTATAGAACCTGGGCGCCGCCAGCTCGGAAGGCCAGCGGTTGCCGAACCAGGGGGCCGAGCTTCGTGAATGGCTCGTGCGTGCCAGGAGACTTGAGCCTCCCACGAAGACGAGGAGGGACCAAAGTAGAGGCGGGGGGCAGGAGAGACAGGCACCCGCTGGGGTGAGACCATCGCCCCCCCCCTCCAGGGGTCCAGAGTTCCTGGGGCGCTCGGCCGGGGAGGACTCTCCCGTTCCCTCACTGCCACTCCCCGTGCCAGCGTTGCCTACCCCTTCCAGGGGGACCCCACCCCCAACTTGTGCAAGACAGGAGCCGACTGTGCATGCACAAGGTGAAAGCACGACTCGTCAGCCCAAGGATCCACTTCCCCCTCGGGCCCGAACCCGAAAGCTTCTAAGCGGGGGTCCTCCACTGACGCCTATACCCCCGACGAGATGGACGGGTCCACGGCCATGGTCCATGGTCCATGGTCCATGGCCTGCCTTCCCGCGCTGTCCCCAGAGGAGGAGCGCCTCCTCTTCTGCGAGGCGTCGCCGGCTTGGGCGCGGGCTTGAGGCCGGCGCAGTGGCCGTCAGCAGTGGCTTGTGATTTCGGCAGAAGCAAAAAAAAATGGACGGGGAGGGGTCGTGACCTCCAGAGTTGATAGGACCACGCTGAGAGTCGTTAGGCAAACAATCAGCGTACAGATCCTCACACTCAGCTCTGATGCGCTCACGTCTTTTATGCACGAATGCCTGCTGCTCAATGTTCTTCGAATTCGACTTGTAGCCAGCACTTGCCTCCACTTGAGGTCGAGCACATTGTTGCAGTATGGTTGCCACATCGAGCGTTCGCATATGAATTGATGCCCAGCTCCTCTCAAGCGCACTTCTAAACCGATGTGAGGTGCCCATGGCGTGCCAAGTACACTATTCAACGCCGTGCATGTACGGAATGCAACACCCTGAGATCATGGCAAACTCGATGTCCCGATGCAAGCATGCTCAAGACCAGCCCTGCGGATAACTCCGCCCTCGCGCTTACAGAATGCGCTACGTCCGAACACTTCGACGTCAATGTTGAATTTTCCGATGGCTAGCCAGGGTAATTTCACCGACTGGAGAAATGCGACTACATTGGAGACGCGCTGAGCGTTGTCATCCGAGAACTGCATCGACGGGCGAGCATGTAACAGTACCACAAGCAGGGAGACGCCATTCGTGCGTGTGCGTGTGTGTGTGTGCGTGTGTGTGCGTGGGTGTGTCAGCGCCGGCATGAACCAGTCGAGAGCATCTGAGCCCTTTGCCAAATATTTGCTAGCTCCATCGCGAGGCTGATCAAGCACGCGATGAACGTTCCGATTGCCCTGCGCCAGGAGGATCTTCCCACCGTCGTTGGCGCGCCCAGCCATCGCCTCTGGGGGCGATCTACTCGTGCCCCTCGCAGGTTTACCAAGAAACTCGAGATTGAGAGCCCTCGCCCGTCGCGCCCACTTCGCCCGAGTGCGGCCACAGACGCGAGACTCCACGATGCCGATGGATTGACATTTATTCCGCGCCGTGGGAGGGGACAGGACATCCCACGGCGTGGTGCCAAGGCAGGCGTTCCTGCTGTAGGGCAGTGTGCACAACTCTCTTCTTCCCTGCTGCTCGAAGCCGAAGATGTAGCTGCGCGGCGCTGCAGCCTCGATGGCATCAGATGCCGCTCGATTATGTTGCCGCCGCCGTCGCCGAGTCTCCTTTGACGTCGCCCACTGACACCGCCTTGGCTGCTGCCTCTCTCCCAAGGCACTGGCCTGACGGATGCGCCCCATCCTTTGTTGCATTTCCGTTTCCGTGGGTTGGCCCGCTGCTTGGCATCGCTCGGACGTGTGCATTTTTCCTTCGGCGAGGACCATCGAGGAGCATCCTTGATCATTTGGCGACAAAGCCACGCACGAAACCGAACAAAGCACAGGGAATGGACGTCCGAGCGATGGCCAGTGGGTTGGCCCGCTGGCGTTGACATTGAGGCTCGTGCTATGGTTGCCGCTTGCTGCTGGCCTGCCGCCTCGCCGCGCACTTCGCCTCGCTCCCCGCCCTCGACTGCGCGTCGCCGTCCGCGGCGCCACCAGCGCCGATCTCGGCCCCGTCGGTATACCGCTTCTCGAGGAGCCAGTCCTGGACCTTCTGCGTGAGTGCGAAGACGTCGGCTCGCCACTCGGCCATTTGCTCGGCCTTGGTGACCACGCTGTCCTGGACCGCCGCCGGCTCACTCTCAACGACCCTGAGCTCCGCCTGTTCCTGCAGGGTGCAGTCCAATGTGTCGAGCTGATTGAAAAACGCTTCATCCCACGTGACGTTCTCATCATGGGCTCATCAGGTATGATGCCTGATCTGCCGCCGCTCGAGCCACAACGCATGCCGCTGGAAACGACCTCGCCGCTGATGGTGACGACGCCCTCCTCTGGAGACACCGCCACCGCTGCCGTGCCGTTCGCTTGCTGATCTCGGCGAGCGCGAGCGCACGGGTGGCTTCCTCCTCCTTTTTGGCCATCGCTTTCTGCAAGTTCTCATGGCGCTCGGAGATTTGGTCGAAGGTTTGGGAGTGTTTCAACGAAGCGTTGCGCCATGCGCCCTTGGCTCACCGCACCGCCTCTGCTTACGTTGGCTGAATGGCCGCAATCGGCTGCGCCAAGACCTGATTGTTGGACGGGTTGGTCAGCAGCGCCATGGCGGACGTGAGCGCCTGTACGGTGCTGGTGACGTTCTTCGGCGGCCTTCCTTTCTTGGTTTGAACCTTCTGCAAGTCTGGTTGCTGTCGACTGTCTCCGCCATATTTGGTCGGATTTGGCTTGTACAGGTTCTTTGGTCTTCTACACTGTGCCGCAGTTGCCCGAGTTGCCTTGAATATTATGATTATAGTTGGGCATCCCGCATCTGTCACATATGCTCCGCAGTCGTGACAACATCCGAACGGAGACACGTACAGGGTCCCGATTCCGCAGCACACTTGCCTATCCGAAAAGATGCGTCACAGAGAATGTGTTGCCCCCCAGAAACACGGGGAGGCGCGGGGTTGGCCGTCGAGCTGCCGAAGTTGTTCTCCAGCCCAAGTTGCTTGAGGAGGAGGAGGAGGAGGAGGAGGAGGAGGAGGAGGAGGAGGAGGAGGAGGAGGAGGAGGAGGAGGAGGAGGAGGAGGGAGGAGGAGGAGGAGGAGGAGGAGGAGGAGGAGGAGGAGGAGGGGAGGAGGAGGAAGAGGAGGAGGAGGAGGAGGAGGAGGAGGAGGGAGCACGGAGGCAGGGAGGTGAGGGGAGGGGAGGGGAGGAGGGGAGGGAGGGAGCCGTGGGGCGCCGTCCGCTGCCGCCCGCCCCCCCCCACCCCGTTGCCGCCCGAGGCGCCCCTCGCCCCGTGAGCGGGGCCGCCCCGCGGAGCAGGCGCGGTGCCGCGGCTCTGCGAGCATGCGGCGCGCGACGGCGGCCCGCCGCCGCCGCCCGGCCGCCGCCTCGGCCGCCGTCTCGGCCGCTGGACCGGCCGCCGCTCGTCGCCGTCGCCGTCGCCGTCGTCGTCGTCGTCGTCGTCGTCGTCGTCGTCGCGTGTCGTCGTCTTCGTTGTGGTCTTGGGTCGTCGACGTGGTCGTGGGTCTTCGTGGTGGTCGTCTTCGTCGTCGTGGTTCGTTGCGGGTCGGCGTCTTCCTCGTCATTTTCGGCGTCGTCTTTGTCGCGGTCGGTCTTCGCCGTAGATCGTCGTCGTTGTTGCAGGCCCATGCATTTGCAGAGCTGTCTTTGTAGTCGTCGTCGTGAGTCGTCGTCGCCGTCGCTGGAGAGGTAATTGGCATTTTCGTCGACGTCTCCAGTTTCAAGGTTCGTCGTGGCGTCGTCCCGGTCGTCCTGTTCCTGCTCATGTACGCGCTCCTGCTCGTGCTTCTGCTCGTGCCGATCCTCTTGCTACATCTTCCGCTGCTGTTCCCCTCCAGCTTCTACTCCTGCTCGTCCTCCCTCCGCGTCTTTCACCGCCCTACCCATGCCCCCTATCGCTCTTGCATGTGCACTTTGCGCTTGACACTCGGCAATGCTTTGGCTAGGGCTTCGGGAGGCGGCCCATTGTGGCCACGTCTGGGCGCGAGTCGCGATGATGCCCTGGAGGGATCATGGGAACGAGCGGTCTTTCCAATTTTCCCCTCGCCAATTTTCCCCTCTCCTGCCCCCTTCATTTCCCTCGCCCCCTCTCTCCTTGTCGCTCACCCCTTCTCCTGCCCCCTTCCATTTCCCTCGCCCCCTCTCTCCTTGTCGCTCACCCTGCCTCTCTCACCGCTCCATCTGCCCCTCCCAGTGGCACCAACATTCGAATTGAACCTCGCTGACCTCCCGAAACCCCCTCCGATCTGCCATCCCCCTCCAGCTCGGCACCCCCGCTGTCGATCTGAGGAAGATGGGCGCAGCGACGCAGCAGACATCGGCCTGCTGTGGGCTGTAGGTGCCGCGCCGCTCCGCCCCCCTCCTCGGCAGGCGTCGCGGCTGCTCCGCGGGCGCGCCTGCGCGCCCGACGCGCGGCAGCGCCTCCACAGGGTTCCACGCCGCCGTCGTGGCCGTCTGGCGTGCCGCACTGGGAGACTCGCGGGTTGGTTCTGTCCCCCTCTCCTCCCCCTCCGATCCGATTCGACCCTAAGATCCAATTCCCCCCTTCCCCTCCCTCCTCCCCCTCCGGAGAGTCCGGGCTGCTCCTCTGCCGCGCCTCCGCGTCCTCGCTCCCGCCGTCGTGGCCTTCTCCTGCGCACCGTTGCCGTCGTCCTCGTCGTTGCCGTCCTGCGCGCGTCTCCCGACACAGTAAGCGTACGCGGTCGTCCTGTCGCAGAGGCGAGCGCGGGTGCATCTTGGCATCCGCTTGAGTGAGGGGCCTTAGCCAGCGCGCCGAAAGCAGAGCCGTATTGTGGAACAACACCACGACCGCTCTGACAGAGCACTAAGCAAGGCCCAGCGGGCCCTTGCTTGTCGCGGCAGGTTTGGCCCATGCGGTTTGGCGATGTCCGCCGCAAGTTTGATCAGGCATCCCCACTCAACCAGTCGCTAACTCGCTGATCTATTATTCACAACGTCGGCCATCAGGGGAGGTCAACCATTGAACAGGTTGACCGTTCTCCCATCAAACCTCACCCTTTGCAGGGCACGCGCAACAATGATGTTAACTTCAGTATTGGCCTTGATCATGCTATGACGCATATTGGCAGCACGTTTAGAAAGTGTCGTCTAGAGATGACGCCCGCATCAACGGCGTGGCAATCCTGTCGGAACACGACAGCAGTTAGGGCCAGTAAGACCGTCCTTGCCATACGACCTGGCTTGCCACGCAAGGGGTTGCGTGGGTTCCTCTGAGTTCTTCTTCCTTCTTTTTCCTTCCCGTCGAGTCAAAGTATATTATTTGACTCACCCAGGTACGCGACGTGGATGCGTGACGCGTGTCGCGCATACATAGAATTACCAACGGTGGTTTGCTAGCGCCTGGGCGGCGCTGTCTGCCAGGGCGGATGGCCGATGAGGCGCATTCTGGTGGCAGATGCCTTGTCGGCCGACCGCTAGCACACGTACACCCACACACACGCACACGCACACACACGCACACACACACACACCCACACACACACACACGCACACACACACACACGCACACACACACACACACACGCACACGCACACACACACACACACCGCAGGTGCGGGCAGGACTGCGTGGGCGCAGGTCACAGGGGGACGAGGACGCGGGGCGCAGTCGTGTCGTGGGCGGTGTCGCCGGTGGGACGCGGGGCGGGACGTGGGGTGACGGCGACAAGAAGAGCAATTTTCAAAACCATGGAACCCCACTTCAGCCAAGCACCCACGGACAGTGCAACATCCACGGCCCGCTCATTCTGATGTTGTGCTTGTCACGGCATGCCCTACGTCCAGAGAGATCGCACGTGTGTGTGTGTGTGTGTGTGTCCAGCGGTTGGAAGGGCTCCGTCCCGTTTTGGCCAGAGCGCGTGCTGCACATCTTTCATACAGACGCATGCGTTACAGGCCACGGGCCACAGTCGCAGCGCGCGTCGTCTCCTTTGTCTGGCCCGCTTCTTGTCGGCCCGGCGCCTCTCGTTGCACGGGGTGCCTTCGTCCCTCTTCCCATCGTATCGTCTGTCGTTGGTATAAAACAGCTCAGGAGGGGAAAAACACAGACACAGTTCATCGTCGACTCCCCAGACAACGTGGGAAAATATGGGACGTGGGGGGGCAAAGACAACAACGCAGAGAACATACAGGAAAATACGGGGAACCCTGTTATCTGTGTCTATTCATGCCCCGTGGTGGCAGGGGCCGCGGAGCCCGGGGCCGCGGACGCCAGAGGGGGCACTGAGGAGGAGGAGGAGGAGGAGGAGGAGGAGGCGGAGGAGGAGGAGGAGGAGGGATGAGGAGGAGGAGGAGGAGGAGGAGGAGGAGGAGGAGGAGGAGGGATGAGGAGGAGGAGGGAGAGGAGGAGGGGCCCCTTGATAGCTCAGCGTTGCGCTCTCTCTCTCCCTCGCTTCCTCTTGCGCGGGACACTGGCCCGCAGGCTTGCCTGGGACACCGGCGCGGCCTTGCCCAGGAGGCTCGCGCGTTGGACTGCGGGCGCTGCCGCGGCCACCGGTGCCGTCGCCATGTTCGGCTGCAGCAATTTTCGCACGGTGTCCACAACTCTCAGGAGGGAAAAACAGATTCCAGATTTCGTAATAAAGGGAGGGGGGTCTCATTTCGGGGGGGGTCTCTTCCAGGCTATCTTGGAGGGCCTGGAGGGTCTGGGGACGATGTTTTGGAGGGTTCTCCCACGGGGGAGGGCTGAAATGGCTTCTCTTGGAGGGTCCAGACCCCCTCCCTTTCATTACGAAATCTGGAGTACAGACAACAATGAATCGTCGGCTCCCCAGAAAATGTGGGAAAGTATGGGGAGTGGGGGGGGACGAAAACCCTGAAGATATGGGAACATATGGGGAGTCCTGTTATTTGTGTGCATTTATTTGTGTGTCCTTGGGCCCCTTAAAATTCTCCGTCGGTCGTTGAAAGTCGGTATGTCTGGATTCCCAGATCCCAACTTGCTGTAGACGCCTTCTTTTTTCAAGAGTCGAGCGTTGTTTTCCCTCGTCCCTCCTCCTCTCCGGGCGGGCGGGAGCCCAATCTACTCCAAACGCCTTCCGACATATCGCTTCTACCCACTTCAACCTACGGGTATATTCCATCCTATGACAATCATGTCTCCACTTGTGTACGAAGACGCCTTCGGCGAGTCACCGTCCATCCCTGCTCTTGTGGAAAGGCAGGGTACTGGAGACCGATAGAGTGTGTGTTAAGGAATGTTTGAATGCGGGTTTGAATTGGCTTTTTGAGGGACCCTCGGGGGGCCTTCCGAGGACATCCTGGGGCCTTCTTGGGCCATCTCGGGACGCTATTGGGCCGTCTTAGGGCGCTCTTTGGCCGACAGGCCAGAACGCCGACCAGAATTTGCACAGCGCCCGCCTCCAAGACGACCAAAATAGCCCAAGTTGGCCTCCAACGCGGTCCGAGATAGCCCGAGACTGTCTAGGATGGGGTCTATTGGGCCACCTTGAGGTCTAGTGGACCAGTTGGGCCGTGTTGGGCTAGTTTTTGGGGCCTTTGGGGCGATCTTGGACGCTCGGAAGAGTGAGAAAGTGGAGATGATGGGCCAATTTCCCACCATCAGTACCATATATAGGACGGGGGAGACAGGAGGATGGAGAGTACCTCCTTCTTTATCTCCTCCTCTCCCCCCGTCTTCTCTCCTCCTCCTCCTCCTCCTTCTCCTCCTCCTCCTCCTCCTCCTCCTCCTCCTCCTCCTCCAGAGGTCCTTTAGAGCACCCACAGAGAGGTTGCGGCGGCGTAGTTTCATCACATCGCTACGTGATTCAGCAAAGGTCCCCAATAGTCTTCTCCTTTGTCTCTTACCCATGGTGGTGGTAGTGGAAAATCGGTTCGTCGGGAGAATACGACATGTGTTCAACAGTTGTGGACACAGGACGACCCAGGAGACCCCTAAGTGCTTCCTGGGAGAGCGTCTTGGATCCTCTTGGCCCTCCTCTTCCCCCTCCTCCTCTCCTCCCTCCTCCTCCTCCTCCTCCTCCTCCTCCTCCTCCTCCTCCTCCTCCTCCTCCCCCCCTCCTTTTCCCCCTCCTCCTCCTCCTCCTCCTCCCCCTCCTCCTCCTCGCCCTCCTCCGTTTGGGCCGTGTTGGACTCAACGTGGGACCATTGCGGACGTCTGAGTGGCTGGCTGTGTGCAATGTGTGGCGCTCTGTGCGCCCTGGCGAGTGCAGCCGAAGGCCGCCAGGGAACCTTTTTGGCAGGGCCAAAGCAAGCCCTCACATCCGGCGCGCCAATCACCTCTCCAGCAGGGAGAAGCTTCTTGCGAGTCCTCTTTGGGGCCTCTCAGGTCTCTTGGGGAATTTGTGGACTTTTGGGTGCCTCTCTCTCTCTGGGGCCACCTGGGGTCCTGCGAACTCCTCCTCATTCCTCCGCCCCCAGTTCGACTCGTCGGTGATTCGTCGTCCCGATCCCCCCATCGCCCCTCCCTCCTTCCTCGTCCCTTCACCCTCCACCCACCGCCCTGCATCCCACAACCTACCTCATACCCTTATCCCCACTGATCCTCATCCTCCTCGCAGCAGGTATGGCGGTCCCAGGGCGTTTATAGATGATTGAAGCAAGTATTGGCCCCGATGTGTGTCTGATCCTCCTCATCTCCCTCCTCCTCCTCTTCCGCCTCCTCCATTCCTTTTCCTCGTAAATGCATTCTCCCTGTCGCACCCCGAGGCCAGTTTTTAGGGCGGGCCGGGCGTTTCGCCTGAGACCTTCTCACCAACTATGACGCGAAGCTTAAACATTGGCAACAGTTTCACAGATGAAGGGCGGGTCGTGTTCATAATGTGGCTCTCGCCTTCGCGCCGCGTGCATTCTTTCTACACATGTTTCAAAATGTGGCTCTCGCCTGAGCGCCGCGCACATTCGCTTGGAACAAATTGCAAGAGTTTCACGGATTGATGGTCACCCGTTTTCATAATGTGGCTCTCGCCTTCGCGCCGCGCACACTCGTTCAAACAAATTGCAAGAGGTTCACGGATTGAGGGCGGTTCCTTTTCAAAATGTGGTTCTCGCATTAGCGCCGCGCACATTCGCTCATACAATGTGCAAGAGTTTCACGGGTTCACGCGGTTAACGTACCAAACATTGCGTTTTGGAAGGATTCAGGTCTTGTGGGTGCAACATTTACGTTGATTCGCGGTGTTAAAACCCAAGAGTGGCGTTCTGGCGCGATCCAGGGTCGTCAAGGCGCAACCGTCAGGTTGATCCGTGGCGTTGGAATCCCGAGAGCAATGTTTTGGCATGCTTCCGGGTCTTCAAGCGGTTGCTTTCCAACGAAGCAGATCAGGACAACTGGAACTGAACCGTTGTAGGGGCCTATGAAGAGGGAGCTTGGAGGGAGGGTGTATTCCAACATCGTTGATGTCTCTTGGGTTTACACTGGTCCTTCTCCTCCTTCGTTTCCTGCCTCATCCCTCCTTCGCCCCTTTCCCCCGTCCTCCCTCTTCCATCCCCCCTCCTCTCTTCCCTTCCGTTGTCCCATCCCCCGAACTCCAACGGCACTCAGTCGGTGCTCCATAGCGAGTGAGTTGGCGCAGTCCATCAGTCAGAGTACCTTTCGGCGGCAGAGAGAGCGAGAAGAGGGAGAGAGTGGATGATGTTGGTGGTGGTGATGATGATGACGATGATGACGATGACGATGGCGATGACGATGACGACGCCGGCGATGATGATGATGATGATGATGATGATGATGATGATGCTGATGGTGATGATGATGATGATGATGATGATGATGATTATGTTGCTGCTGATGATGCTGATGATGATGGTGATAGTAATGATGATGGTGATGCTGATGGTGATACTGCTGATGCTGATACTGATCATGATGATCATGCTGATCATGCTGACGATGATGATCCTCATCATAATCATGCTGATGATGCAGATGGTCGTTGTGATGATGATGGTGATGATGGTTGTGATGGTAATTTTGATGGTCATGGTCATGGTGATGGTCATGGTGATGGTGATGATGAGCATGATGATGCTGATGATGATGCTGATGCTGATGCTGATCGTGATGATGATGATGATGCTGATGGTAATGGTGATGCTGATGGTGGCGATGATGATCATGCTGATGCTGATGCTGATGCTGCTGATGACGCTGATGCCGATGATGCGGATGCTGATGCTGATGGTGATACTGAAGCTGGGGATGGTGTTGGTGATAGTGATGGCGATGGTGATGGTTATGGTTATGACATTGGTGGTGATGGTGACGATGATGATGCTGAACATGATGATGATGATGATGCTGGTGATGGTGATGATGCTGATGCTGATGGTGATGGTGTTGGTGATGATCATGATGATGATGATGATGATGCTGATGATGATGATGATGATGATGATGATGATGATGATGATGATGATGATGATGATGGCGACGATGATGAGGATGATGATGATGCTGATGCTGATGTTGATGCTGATGCTGATGATGCTGATGATGAGGAGGAGGAGGAGGGAGTCCGCATCGTCCTTCTCTGGTCGTCGCAGGCATCCTTCTCCTTCCTCCGCCTTCCTGACCTGGTCCTCCCGCCCCGAGTCTGGCGTACAACCCCTGGTTCTGTTGCTGGACTTGGACGAGACACTGCTGCGGCCGAGAATCCCCCAGGCGGGCCACCCGGGGCAAGCCGGCTGCCCAGCGAAAAGGAAGAAGGCAAGAGCAAGGGCGAGGAGGAGGAGGAGGAGGAGGAGGATCACGACGAAACGATCCAGAATGAGAAGGGGATGACACCCGTGATGATGATGATGATGGGGAGGAGGAAGAGGAGAAGGAGGACCAGGAGGCGGTCGACGATTACGGAGACGAGGAGGAGTGCGACAGGCAGGGGGAGGACGAGCAGGACCAAGAGCAGCATAATGAGGAGGAAGATGACGAGCCGGACGAAGATGAAGACCAGGAGGACGACACGACAAGGAGGGCGAGGATGAGGACGACCAGGGTTTGAAGTGTCCAGCAGCAGGATGCCGTAAGTCCAGGAGGGGGGGGGGGTCGTCCCAGAGGTAGGTCGCTGTGCCAATTGTCCCCCCCCTCCCCTCCCCTCCCTCGCGCCGCGCCGATGCCCCTCCCCCCCTCATCATGCTCCTCTCCCATCCTTCTTCCCTGGTTGTCTCACTTTCTTCAAGGGGGGGTCTCAGAGGTCGCTCGGGCATCGGGCAGGTCCGGGAGCCTTCTGGTGTCCCTTCGTCACCCTGAAGCCCTCCTTGTCTCGCTGGCCTGCTTGGTCGCTCACCGCTCTGCGTGTTTACGGATGTAGCCGGTATTTGATTGTGGCAATGTGCATTGGCTGTCAATTGTCACCTGATGTCTGGGTGGCAGCTTGGGGCCAAGGGTGTTGAGGATATCGAGCTGGCAGTTTGGGTGAGGATCTCTAGTGACAGTCTTGAGCCAGGGGTGACGATACCTGGATTGCAGTTCTGTTCAGGATACACTGTTGGCAGTTTATACGAAGTGGCGAAGATATCCAGTCGCCCCGACAGTTGCGGAGACGTTTTTGTTTTGCCAGATTGAGGAGATGTGGGTCGTGTACCCCTTCTGACGAGGGGTGGGGTGAGCGCTCCCTCCCCACCCAATCCGCCTCCCCGAGTGCCTTCACACGCAGACTTCACTTTCTCTTTTTCTCGACTGTTCCCTCCGCGGAGGGGTGGGGTAGACGGTTGCCTCCCCCCCCGGGCTCCCCCCCTCCCCCTTCTGCTTCGTCTTCCCGGGTCCCCCTTGACACCCTGGACGGCTGGGGCGGGGGGCGGGGGTCGGGCCGGAGGCGGGGCATGTGGGGTGTGTTGTAGACTCCGTGCACGGCCTTTCGGCCACCGCGTGCTACGCAGACCTTGTTCCATTACGTTCTTCGCCCTTTCAGTTCTCCGCCTCGTCGTCCTCGTGTCTGCGGGGGCCGCCGCGCGCCGGCCAGGGTTGGCCGGGACGCACCCTTCGCCCTTGTGTCCGTTTCGTTGTCGCCCTTCCTCATTTCCTCCATCCGTCGCTGAAACACATCGATGATGGCCAGGCCCATCCTGGACCCAGGGTCGGTGTCTGCGCATTCCTGGCCAAGCCGGTAGGGTGCATACGCCAGTCCTGGGGTCAGGATGGGCGTGGCCATGACTTGTGAGTTAGTCCGTTGACGTTCACCAGAACATCTCAGCGTCATCGTGATCGCTTTGGGTCCTCGGTTTGAAGAGACAACGCCCCGCGTTCCTTACTCCTTCCCTCCCTCCTTCCTCCTCCCCCTCCTCCCACCTCCCATCATCATCGTCATCATCATCATCATCATCAGCAGCATCAGCATCAGCAACATCATCAACATACTCATCATCATCATCATCATCATCATCATTATTATTATTATTATTATTATTATTATTCTTATTATTTTTATAATCATCAGCATCATCATCATCATCATCATCATCATCATCATCATCATCATCATCATCATCATCATCATCATCATCTTCATCATCATCATTATCGCCGTTATCGTCACCATGATCGCCGCTCATGTCGGCACACCCCTCACACGTTTCGTGGCCCCATAGGTGGCTCCACCGAACGCCCCAAGTGAAAGGATTCACATGCAGTTCCACCCTCATTTCGGCGCCCCCTTCACACGGTTCGTTGCCCAAGAGGGAGCTCCACCGAAGGCCCTAGTGGCAGGGCTCGCATGCAGTTCCACCCTCGTTTCGGCGAACCCTTTGCACGTTTTGTGGCCCCATAGGGAGCTCCACCGAAGGCCCCAGTGGCAGCGTTCGCATGTAGTTCCACCCTCGTTTCGGCGCACCCCTCACAGTGTTCGTGGCCTCATATGAAGCTCGACCGAAGGCCCCAGCGGCAGGGTTCGCTTGCGGTTCCACCTCCATTTCGGCACACCCCTCACACGTTTCGCGGCCCCACAGAGATCTGCGACAGAGGCCCCAGTGGCAGGGTTCTTATGAGACCCCACCCCAGCGGCAGGGTTCGTATGCGGTTCCATTCCCATTTCGGCACACCCCTTACGCTTCGTGGCCCCATAGGGAGCTCCACCGAAGCCCCCGTTGGCAGGGTTCGCATGCGGTTCCACCCCTACTTTCGGCACACCCCTCACACGTTTCGTGGCCCCATGAGGGAGCTCCGCCGAAGGCCTCACTGGCAGGGTTCGCATGCGGTTCCACCCGAATTTCGGCACATCTCTCACACGCTTCGTAGCCCCATAGGGGCCCTCACCGAAGACGATACTCACAATTGCGGCACTCACCGCTGCAGATGATGTCGTGGGGTTCTTCGCCAGGCTAATTGCTTTGCAGATCGGCGCGGGCTCTCGCACCCCCCTCCCCCCCCATGGAGTAGATCTTGGCTGTTTTTGGCGCCTGTTTCAAGCAGGCGTAGTTTCCCCCGTGGGACTCACTGTTGCAAAGCAGTCGCCTCAAGCAGAGGTCCGGAGCCAGACCCCCCCCTCCTTCCCCTTCCGCCCAGTGCCGAAACGCCGAATAAGAAAACGTTCACATTCGCATCTTCGTGTGCATCCTCCTTGCGGCCCTCGCCTCGTCCCAGCGAGCCCACGCGTGGACGGCCTCTGCGGGGGAAACGGCGAGGAAGATCGCCACCACCGCGTTAATCGCACCACCCTGCGCCCTCATGTTCGCTCGCTCGCGTGAGGTCCACAAGTACGACCTCGCCTCCGTGGACCTCAGTATAACCATACCGGTGAACGACGGCGTCCACTGCGATTTGTCGCTCAGGCATGGCGGCCGTGCAGCCAAAGCCGCCCCCTCTTCCACCTCCACGAGGGGGAGGAGGATGGATGGATGATGTGGAGGAGGATGAGTAGAGGGAGGGAGGGAAGAGAGAAATGAGTACTTAGGGTGGTGAGGGTAGAGAGTTCAGGGGGCGTTCTAAGGGATCGGAAGCTCTCGGCGCACTTGGGCGTTGCTGGAGCGATGCCTTGGCATGCCAAGCAGGAAACGAGGCGAGGAGGAGGAGGAGGAGGAAGCTGAGGCGGAGGCGGAGGCGGAGGGGGACAGGAAGAGTATGCAGAACATGATGATGGTGGTGGAGAAGGTGGCAGCAGCCCGTCGGGGGGCGACCCCTCCCATCGCATGAATTGGGCTGGGCGCTGGCCGTGGCCCGCAGTACGTTGCGATGTTCGGATCTGTTTTGGGGGGACTGCATTCGTTTCCGCGGCATCGATGACACAGTGAGCTCTCGGTTTGAAGCAGCTCGGGTCGACTCGATGCTCGAGCTGGGGCCGAGCTTCGTAGCGTCAGCTGCGTCGTGCGTTTCCTGTCCGACAGGCTCGCACTTGTGAGCTGGAGACTTCTCACCACATACTGATGCTCCCGCGCTTCCCTTCAGCCCTCACGGGCCTCACCTTCTGCGCCCGGTGCAGCCGTTTTTTGCTTCGGGCTGGCTTGCCGTGATTTTCCCTTCCGACTCCAGACTTATGATGTTCCGTCTTGCTTTCGCTTTGATCACCAGAAAGAATTTTGAGCACCAAGGAAATGCCGAAACTTGAGGGTTTTCCAGTGTCGGGCCCTGGGGGGGATACTCGTTCGACACTGTTTCGATGTTTTTCTGGTGCTCAACATCATTTTTTGCATGTGGTCCTCAAGCACGATGGGAACAACAGAACTCCAGATCCCCCAGTGAGTCATCAAGTGCCCTCCTGTTTCCATCTCAACCTCCCGATTCCCATGCTGTGCGACACGTTGGACGTGTGCGACGCGTGCGCTGAGCACAATAACAGAGTCATCCGTGGTTTCCAGTGGTGACAGGAGCGAGCTCGATTTTGCGGCCGTGACCGTTGCCTGGAAAGAACAGGAAGAGGTAGGACATCGAGGGCGCGGATGCAAACATCGGGAACCTCCACCCTCGCATGACGGGGAGGCAACCCAGAAGTGACGTACAACTCGTGAAAACACCTCAAAAAATTACGGACCGGCGCGATTGACACCGAGAGGGAAAAGTGGGGCACCAAGCTGTCGAGGCGCCTATCAGGAGTGGCCATGGAAACCATCAGCGGAGTGGAAGTAGAAGACACCAACCATCGGTGAGCATTGCGTCAACACCATCGCGATCAAGCTTGACGACGCTTCGCTCTGGTGCTAGAACAGACCATGCCCAGGACCTGCGAGCAGGCAGTGTACACCTCGGCTCGCGAGAAGGGCCAGGCCATGCTGTAGTGCACCCTGGTGGCGTCGAGCAGGTCCAACGAGTTTAAGCGAGAGGGTGACGCTGCCAGAGCCCGTACGCGGCTGCATCATGATGCGCAAAACCAAGCTCGGCGCGAAGGGCGCAATCAAGGTCAAGACATGGACCGCCGTCATTTTCAGCGAGCCAGAGGTGATCAACGCTCTCAGACGCTTGGACTAGATCTCAACGGATTCAGGTGGACGGCGAACTTTGGAGGTGAAGAAGGCGCCCTCCAGATGGGCGACGATCCCGGTCTACGACGACGAGGACGGGCCAAGACATAATCTACGCAATGACGATTTTTGGGAGGGGCACGAAGAGCGGCCTTCGCCTCGCACTAAACGGCGAGGGGCTCCTCGCGCTAGGAGGAGAACGAGCGCGGTCTCCACAAGGGCGGCAAGGGCGGCAAGGGCAAGAGCAAGGGATTCCCGCGACCTGGGGCGCGCTTCGGCCAGAGCAACCGGCACCATAGCGCGGGCGCGCGCGGCAGGAGGGCGGCGCGTTCATATCGGCATGGTCGAATCAACCAGCGGCGCAAATCAGCAACCAGCGGAGCGAACCAGAAGCCTGCCTCCACAGGGTCTGTGGGCGCCGCGACACTCGAGCCAGCTATTGAGGCCCAGCCGGGCGGATAGCATCTCGAGTTTGATTCCAAGAATTTGAATAATCATCGTCGCCGTCTGGGCGCGTTGCGAGAAGTTGCAGAGTTTGAGCCCTACGAGAAGGATGCTCGTTAGGGAACTCATTCGAGATCTCGCTCACGGCGCAGCGGCTTATGGGGCCAGGCCAAGGTTGCGAGCAAAGCAGGCGCAGAAGTGGAAACATTCGCGTCGAGCATAAATCTGGTGACGTCGGGTCCGCGGCGTGGGCTTGCCCTGGGAAGCGGGGGGGCATTGGTGGGCGCCGCGGCCCAATCGGGTCTAGTTGGGGCTCGGGCGCCGCGGGGTTTACAGGAGGCGCCGTGGAGACGGGGGCCCGTAATCAAGTGGATAAGCCAGGCGCGGCCCAGGGAGTCGCAGGATGTGCCAAGCGAGAGACGTTCCAACGCCGCCGCCCATGAAACTTCTTCAAGAAGGCTGTCGTGCGCCTCGACGCGATGAAACTTGTGCTCAGGCAAGTAGAGTCTGAGGTCCCCATGAGAGAGGCGGATGCAGGGTGGGCGGCAGCTTTAGCGGCGGGGTTTCGACCCGAGTGATGATGGCCGGGACCCACGGGGAAACTGCGTCTTCAAGACGGATGATGTTCGAGTCAACAATCGTCTGAGCCAAGGCTGAGGCGACCCAGCCTCGCCCTCAGCGCGACGTGTTTCCATCGGTTCTTCCATGTTCTCGCGAGGTTCATTTCTCTGAGCGAATCACGCGTTGGCACGAATCTCCTCGGGCTTGACGCCGTTGGCGTCTGCGCTGCCGCTGGCGGGGCCGCCCCGCTCCGCCCTGCTCCGCCTGGCCGGGCGTCGCTGTCGGCCGGGAGAGCAGCGGCGAGGAGAGCGAGTGCGAGATCGACGCGAACCAGGGGGGAGGGGCATAGTCGGCGAAGGCGACGACAGGCAGCGCCGACATCAGGGGCTCGATGCTCAGCGGTGTCTTGGGAGAAAGACCCCAGCGAGCACGCGCGCCGCCCGGAGTGGCAGGCGGCGCGCTGCCGGCGCCAGATCGAAGCGCGCCAGCGCCGCTGCGCGGCGGATCCGACCAAGGGGAGCGGGGCGTTCTGCGCAAGCGCGGAGGATGTCCGACCACGACGCGGGGGAACATAATACACGCCGATCGCACGCGCGAGAAAGCCTCCTGCGTCAGCCCCCGCCCAGTCCGGGAGGCAGCGTTGGCGGGGCACTCGCCCAGCGGATCACATCCAGGGCATGGGCAGAGCGATTTGGGCAGTCCGGCGCGTCGAGTGCGGCGAGTGCTGGGCCGGGGGCCGCAGGGCCGAGCTGAGCCTGGCCGAGGAGAAGCAGGTGGCGGCCAAGGGGCTGCAGGGCGCGACGTTCCAGGGGGCGCCTGGCCCCTTCAACGGCCGGCCGACTGCCGCTGCGAAGGACGGAGACGAAGCAGGGCACCGAGCTGCGAGAGCGCCGGCGCCAGGCTCGGAGAATTCCGGCACCCGAGAGGATGCGAGTGAGGGGGCGGGCGGAGGACGCGATTGACTACGACGATTGCTGTTGGTGGAGAGTGGCGGCGAGGTAATCGACTTCGGATAAATTCGACGCGGCGCGCTAGGGCGGTGGATCCAGCTTGGGAGGGCGCCGAGGGCAGGCGGCGGCGCCGGCGACGGCATAACATCAATCGCCTCCGCATGGGTCTTGCGAACCAAGCGCCGGGAGGGTGGGTGGAATGATTGAGCGAACACTGGAGTTGTCAATTTCAAGCTGAGCATTGGTGAGGTGCACCACGTAGATAGCATCACTTAGACTGCAACGCGTAGCTAGCACACAGTTTATTGAACAGCGCAACTTGCACCTTATTTGCACAACACATGTTTCAGGGTGCGCACCATATGTTGCACCTCGTAGTCTGCACCACAAGCACTGCACAGCACTTGTTGTTAGAAACGCATGTGTGTCGGGCCCGCGATGGCTAACACGTCCTATTGTTTGCTTGCTGTTGTGTTTTTTGGGCGTCTCAGCGGTACTGCCGCTGCAGCGCAGGCCTCATTTCAAGATCGGCGCTTTGCCCCCTTCGTTCCGAATGGCGCTCTCGCCCCAGCGCGGGCTGCGATTCTGGTTCCGAGAGTTTCCTTGTTTTTGTCGCCCCGCTCCTTTCCCCTCCCCCGCTTTCCCCTGGTCATCCCTCTCCTCCCGTTTCTCCCACTCCAGCTCCTGCTGCTGTTACTGTTCCTCCTCGTCCTCCGCCGTCCTCATCCTCCTTCTCCTCATCCTCCGGCTCATGTTTCTTCTCATCCGCCGCCTCCCTTGGCTCCAATGTATTCAGTTCCCCAATTCTAATCGCGCGTGGCCCGATGGGGTTCATTTTTTGGACTCCAGGTGCTGTACGGCGCACGTCGGCGGATAGATCACACGTTCCTATCCCCCCCCCTCGACCATCTCCTTTGGCAGTCCTCCCCCCGCCCGGCCTTTGCGGGCCCCGGAAGCGGCAGGGCCGTTTTTTCACCGTTTCCAAAAAATTGTCCCTTCAAAATGGGATAGGCAAAAAAAGGCGACCCGAAACGGCAAAAAAACGGCTCCAGGATTGGAACTGGGGCCCGAACCGGACAAAAAACGGCGACGGAACCTGTAAAACAACGGCGTCGGAACAGGAAAAAAATCGGCAAAACGAAACCGGTCAAACAAACGGCCCTTTCGTTTCCAGGGCCCACTAAGCGCCGGGCCCCCCTGGAGGCCAGGCCTCGCCCGCTTCTTCGAGTGGATCCGGGAGCGGCGAAGAGCCGGGCGCCTCGAGGCCGGGGCCGCGGAGGGGGGGATTGTCTGGTTCAAATCGTAGTGAAGCGTCCTGGCTCGCGTGTAGCCCTACCAAAGAATGTTATAAGAACGAATTGTGGTTTCCACGACATGTCCTTAGAACATTTCTGGCGGAGTCTGTCTTGTTTTATCACATCGGGTCTATGTTCAAAGAGCATCGCTTCTGTTCTTTAGAACGTTCTTGGGTTCTAAGAAGATTTCGTGGCAGGACCTTAGTGGGCCCTGGAAGCAGCAGGGCCTTTTTTTGTACCGCTTCCGTTTTTGTTGTTTTTTCGCCGGTTCCGACGCCGTTGTTTTACCGGTTCCGTCGCCGTTTTTTGACCGGTTCCGGCTCCAGCTCCAATCCTGGAACCGTTTTTTTGCCGTTTCGGGTCGCCTTTTTTGCCGTTTCCACTTCCAACGGACATCTTTCTGGAAACGGTGAAAAAACGGCCCTGCCGTTTCCGGGGCCCACAAAAAGCAGGACTATAGGAATGCCGGGACGGTCGGTCCTTGCTCAGCTGGTGCACCGCTGCAGTCCGCGCGCCAGAGGCGGACAGGCCAGAGCTGCAGGGCAGCAGGCTGTGGCAGAGGCGCTGTTGAGCCTCGAGCCGTTGCTTGGTCATCGCGAGGGCCGCGGGCAGCAAGGCTCGGCAGGGCTCCCCCGCGAGAGCCTCCAGGCGGGCGTTTGTCCATCTGCACGAACGAGATGGGCACGGAAAGAATGGGTACAACGCCCAACAGCAGTTTCTTGTTCATTTTGAACAGGATTCGCTGTCCGCGCCGCCGCGGCCTGTGTCCATTCGAGACAGAAGGCTGCCTGTCCAACAGTGGCCGCTGTCGGTTTGGGATAACATGTGTTGTTGGGCATTGTACCAATTTTTTCCGTACCCATTTCGGGCGTCCTTGCCCAGGAGCCGCGTGCCCCGCAGGAGGGCCACAGGGACGGGTGCAGGGGAACAAAAAGTGGCATCAGCATAAAACCTCGGAGGTCCGCGCGGATCTCTCGGATCGGCGCTGGGCCCCCCTCCCTGGCGCGCGGAGGCGGCGCCAGGGGCGGCGCCGGAGACGCCGCCGGGGGGCCCCAGCGCCGATGCGAGAAATCCGCGCGGACCTCCGAGGTTTTACAGTCGGGGCTCTGAAGAAGGAACCCTTTTCGTTGGGGAGGGGCTCGGTGTTCCTTAGTTGTTTTGCTTAGGGTTTCCATGGGAAATCGAAGTTTGACTTATGGGAAAAAGGGGCCTCGTTCCTTATTTAGGGTTCCTTAGGTCAACGCCCCGACTGTATGCTTATGCCACGTTTTGCTCGCCTAGGGTGGGCCCGCTTGCCCGGAGTCCACGACGGGGCAGCTTCTCAGGGAGGGGGTCCGGCTGCGCAGCCCTCGCCCAGGGATCCTTGCGCGGGGGCAGCGGCCTCGTGGGCCTGGCTGCCCCTCGCTGCCGTGCGATCGCCCCCCCGCTCAACGCCCCCCCCGCCCACCGCGGATCCGCAGCAGGGCAGGCGCTGCGCAGACGGGTTCGAAAGGGGAAGGAGGAGGACGATGAGGAGGAATCGCCACCGTTACCTTTGCACATGGCACTGGGCCAACGATCTTCGATGGAATCCCTTTCGTTCACACTACCGCGGACATCAGCTTCGATCCAACGCCGACGGCGGAGCACGAGATCAATCGGTTGCTTCTGACGCCGCTGGTCGGGCTCGTCATGGATCGACGAACATTCGAGCACGATACAGGCATGACGCTTCGTCACAGCAGAGGCCTGACTAAGCAGCGCATTTAGTCACGGATAATATCGACCAGGAAATGGCAGTGGGCATTGTATGTAATGCAAGTGGCAAATGTTGCACTATGAGGCATGTTCACATTCTGAAATTGCCTGGCTTCCGCGGCCATTTTGGCTCCAGCCTGGACGCTGGGACTTTGTCGAGTCCCGTTGGTCCATCATGGGCTTTCCTCAACCTGGCTCTGGGTCCTGGGCGCGCTGCCGCAGTTGCAGGTGCTGAACCTCTACGAAGATTGCGTGGGCGACGCCGGCGCGGCGGCGCCTGGCAGATGCCCTCGGGGCCTCGTGCGCGCTGACGCAGCTGCAGGCGCTCGACCCCTATACGCCGACCGCCTGGGCGACGATAGCGCGGCGCGACTGGCGGGGCTGCCGCAGCCTCAGGTGCTCGACCT